GTGTGTAGTAGTAGTGGTAGTATAAGCCGCAGGTGTTTTAATGTTTAATTACCATATGTAAGGGTTCGTGCACAGAGGGGATTGTCGGGAAAGAGATGGCTGTTTGAGGAAGCTCCCATTTATTAACATTTCAACAAACAAGTTGCATATTTGCATAACGTATTCAAGTGTTAGCATTTAGTGCAATAGTAGCTACAGAACATGTGCTGTGTAAACTGTACTGTATCACATAGCATTTCAGACACACAAAGTTTTCAACTTTCAAACTTAAACGGGCGCTCATCTCGCTCTTAATGTCTGTCTGTCTTGTTCTCGTTCTGTCTCTTGTACCACTCTCGGTTCCACTTTTACTTTTGCGCGCTACCTGTCTCACTCTTTTCCGGCCTCCCTTTTCCTGCGGAGCCCGCCGCTTAAAGGTGGGGGGCGCGGACCGGCCATAGAGCCCATAGAGTTAAAGGTGGTGGACTGTAACCTGTAAAATCCATAGATTTAGGAGGTCCCCTAGTGGCCGTTAGCTGTAAAAATCCATAGATTAGCCGCACCGTTATATAAGCTGCAGGGTCGAAAAAGGCGCGGCTTATAGTCCGAAAATTATGGTATATATGTTTTTACCTAAAGAAATATTCTGCTTCCATTCCTATTTGTTGGTGTTTAGTCCTTTAGCAAAATGTCACTTTGTAAACTGCTCTACTACTTGCAGGCTGCAGCGCGCACACATAAAACACTATACATTTCTTACGACAAACAATTGATGCTCGATTAGAAAATCTCAATAAAACGTGTACTTGATAAAACATTTTGTAACTCCTTGAATCCATCAATTCTGATGTGACGTATAATCTACGGTCTCCTCTTTGTGTTTGTTTACAGTTTGGTGCGCTCACACCACTGGAGCCACGGTTGGGGAAGAAGCTGATCGAACCTCTGACCAACTTAATCCACAGGTTAGATGAGGAACATTCCACAGATGGTCAAGTCTGTTTGATTTGACAGATATATCATATATATATTTATCTCTGCTTCTCCCCCCTCTCTCACAGTACCTCTGCCATGTCTCTGCTGTATGAATGTGTCAACACAGTGATAGCAGGTCAGTTCTGGTTTTAAATGTGAGCAGTAACTCTTATTCACTTTGAAGTGTTTTGTGCTCTATTCCAGTCCCTCTGTATTAATGACACATCTTGAATCCTTCATTTTCTCACAGAATGTTTAGTTTTTCTCTAATTACTCTCGTTTGTCTCACATTGCAGTGTTGATTTCGTTGTCCTCGGGGATGCCTAACCACAGTGCTAGTATCCAGGTAAGTTCATGGGTTCCACTTCTCCTTCTGCACCTTCATCTGGTTTCATATTGATCATAACCACTTCCACCCCGATTGAACCACTGTGTTTTCCCCATGTTGTTTTCTGTTCAGACACATGTAAAGTAGACACACATCAGTGATTATACGTTTGCACGATTCACACATCCTTTTCTCTCCTGCTTTTTAGTTTTTGATTTCAACAAATGCATGCACCATCAATTGTTAGCCCAATGTCCTCCTTTTTGTTTGTCTCATTCATGTTTTGTAGGACTAGACCGAACCTGTTGTGGAAAGTGATGTTAATGGCTCTCCCTTTCTCCCCCCCCCACCCCTTTCTATTGCTTCCTCTCTCTTTCTCTGTTTCTCTGTTTCAGCTCTGTGTGCAGAAACTGCGAATCCTGATAGAAGATTCGGACCAGAACTGTGAGCCCTCTGTCAATGCCTGCAGTGTGTCATTTTCTCATTGTCTGCGTGTTTCTGAATATGGAACAGTCCACCCTCTTAGACGAAAAGTCCCCCTGACTCTGGATAACTCGAAACCTTACCATACTCCCTCCCTAATTTAGGAGGCCTGCTTAGAACACCACTTCACTTATGTGAATACCCCTTTCACAACTAATCCTCTGCATGATACAGAACATGGGTTTTTCCCAGGCTTCAATTTGAAAGTGATAAGAGTTGCCAGTTTGCAGTTTATTCTCCAACATAAGGCTTCTATAAATACACTCCCACACACACTTCTAGTTGGAGCTGAGAATACTGCATTTAGCCATTCGAGTTATCTGGACACCCATATATAGATAGTTCTGTGTGTGAAGTAGAAAAATAGACATTTGATGTTCCTAGAGCAGACTGTGAACCTGTGGTTTCAGCTTTTGGTTATCCTTTCAGCGCACCTCATGCTTTAGGTGAACCGCTTTCAATACTTTGATACGGTAATTATCTAAAAGATCAGGACATCTCTGGATTGTAAAGATACCATCAATCAGTCAATAATTGTCTAAAGACATTTTGTGCAAGCAAAATATATATCGCCATCAAGTTTAACTGAGATATCTGAAAGAAACACACCTGCAGGAATATGCTTAATGCATCGATTAGCAATACATTTATTATATTATCTTTAATGCAGCAGACATTATGCTATATGTTATCTCAGTTTTTAATGACAAAAATAGCCCTGTACACAAATTGACTGACGACAGCAATTCAGTAAACATTCTTTGAAATGTTTATCAGTTTCCCATTTCATTACTCGGTTAGGCCTTCCTCGCTGAGATAAAGAATCAGCTGAAGGAACATCCAGTGTGCTCCTCTCCTCCTCCCCCTGCTGCTGCACTGACTCCCCGGTCACTCCTGCAGTGTTCACTTTCAGCCCGATGACACAAGGCCATGATTCAGCAGATTTCTGAATCGTTAAAAATCTGTTTTTGGTTAGAAAGAAAAGCTGCCAGGCTACTACACAAGGGAGGATAAAACAAAACAAAACGACTGTTTCCAGTGTGCGTGTTGTACCGTGTGTGTTTGTGTGTCCTTTCCATTGTGCTGCATGTTTTGTGTTCCTTTCCTTTTTGATATTTATTTTGTGTCATTTACATTTGATTTTTTATTGATTATTGCCTGCAAGATAACACAACAATAGATAAACAGCATTTTTAATAGATTCAGTTAGCAATGTTTTTGACTAGATGTAGCCTAGTGGTAGTAGTGGTAGTGGTAGTAGTAGTAGTGGTAGTGGTAGTAGTGGTGGTAGTGGTAGTGGTAGTGGTAGTGGTAGTGGTAGTGGTAGTAGTAGTGGTAGTAGTGGTAGTAGTAGTAGTAGTGGTAGTGGTAGTAGTAGTGGTAGTAGTGGTAGTGGTAGTAGTAGTGGTAGTAGTAGTGGTAGTGGTAGTGGTAGTAGTAGTGGTAGTAGTGGTAGTAGTAGTAGTAGTGGTAGTGGTAGTAGTAGTGGTAGTAGTAGTGGTAGTAGTAGTGGTAGTAGTAGTAGTAGTAGTGGTAG